TGATGTGCTTTACTCTAAATGAGGATAAAAAATAGTTAGGAGTTTGGTGGGGGGGTGCGGGGGGGAGGGAGTAATAGCACCTCAAGTCTCTTGCTTTCCTTAAGCTCTTCAATGAAGGCCACTAGAGAGGTACTGGGCTGCCACCTCTCACAAGAGGGCGGGAAGAAACTTGGGGAGTTTGAGGCCACTCTGTGTGAACATGCCTGGCCGCCATTCGGGGCTGCTGGGCAAGGAGGGGAGCTTTCGCGTGGGGAAGGGTCCTCCCAAGCCATGGCAGCCCAGCTCCCTTTTGACCCTCCCTTGGAAGAGCGAGCACACCCCTGGATTTGCCTTCCTGTTGGTGTCTCTCTGTGGTTCTCTTTTCCTTCTTGTTCTTTTCTTTCTCTCTGGTCTCTTCATTGGGACTTGGCCGGGCCATGTGCAAACCCAAACCATTCAACAGTGCTGGAGAGTAGATAGTATTTACCTCAATAATGGTAGTCTCTTTCCGATTCTTTTTAACCCTCAATTCAGATGACGGGTCTAAGCCGACACCCACGATGGAGACGCAGCCGGTGTTCGACGGGGACGGTAAGCTCTGGTATTACTTCCGACTCCCATTCCCCACCCGGTTTCAGATTTGGGGAAGGTAGGTCTTTCCTTTGGATGTCTGTTTAAGCATTATCATTCTTTTTTCTTTTTTTAATTGTCATTTTCCCCAGTGTACGCTGGGTTGTTTTGACTTTTTTTTTAAAATACACTTTATTGATTTTTTAAAGAGAGGAAGGGAGAGAGATAGAGAGCTAGAAACGTCGATGAGAGAGAACCATCGATCAGCTGCTTCCTGCACATCTCCTATGGGTGATGTGCCCACAACCCAGGTACATGCCCTTGACCGGAATTGAACCTGGGATCTTTCAGTCTGCAGGCCGACGCTCTATCCACTGAGCCAAACCGGTTTTGGCTGTTTTGACCTTTTAAACAAATGCAAACCCTCCCAGGAACTGGTACACTCGCCACTTCTGGACAGGCCCTCTGCTCGCCAGGCTTCCTGCCTGGCTGCTGGTGGCCAGCAATAACACAGCCTGCCCGGGCCCTGGGAGCTGCCAAGACGGAGGAGCCACGGCAGAGAAGGACAGTCAGGCCGGCACCATCCCCTCAGTAAGGGAACCAGCACCGAGAAGCTCCTGTCCTGGGCCCAGCTTCGTGCTCAGCCTCTGGGGGACGAAGGAGAAATAGAGCAGATGAAGCCCCACTCTAAAGGCAGTGGCAAGCCCTGGAGGGCTTTGTGTGTTAAACTACGTGCTCTCGGTTATAATTGTAGTAGAAATGTATGGAAGGAAGAGATCGCAATGCTCTGGGGAGAGAGTCTTTGAGGAGATGGCAGGGACTTGAGCTGGACCTTGAAGGTGGGGAGGAAGAATTAGGGCATTCCAGGCAGGGGACCGGCATGGACAAGGAAGGGAGTATTGCGGGGATGGGACATAGTAAGGAAAGTAGCAGGAAAGGGACAGGTTAGTGGAGCTGGTTTGGTTAAGTTGTAGGGATCATGAGAGTTGAGTCAAGACAATTGAGAGGAGAAATTCTAGGTCAAGAGACATAGTTGTGGCTGATGGCAAAATAGATGTCCCTGGAGATATAAGAGGGGTTGAGGAAGAGCTTGGGGTGCAGAAGGCTGGCCTCGATTTGAGTTTGAGGTGCTCAGGGCCTATTCTTCAGAGTGCTTTGCTAAGTACTCCGGGCTCCCACGAGGAGAAGCTGGACGCTCGGCACAACGCCGAGTCCGACAGCTAGGTTCAGCCCTTGGTGCAGTGTGCAGCAACCTTTAGTAGCTTTCAGCGAGTGTATGCAGGCTGGATCATGAGCCTGGACAGTGAGACAGAGGAATAAAAGAAATGCCACTGTTTGGTACTATGGCTAGGGATGGCCCTAGCATGAGCTGTCCTTTGCAACTGATCATTTCGTGGGACATATTTGTGTTCACGCCCAGAAGTTCCTCAGAGGTCCTTTATCACCGGCAAGCCTGGGCCCTGGGGGATTGGGTGGAGAATGGAGACCATGCCAGCTTCGGCGACCTCTCCAGTACCCCCACTGAAGATCTTGTCACACTACAGTGTGTTCATGGTCATCTGTCCCTGGAGGGCCTAGAACAGTGATGGCAAACCTATGACACGCATGTCAGAGGTGACACGCGAACTCATTTTTTTTGGTTGATTTTTCTTTGTTAAATGGCATTTAAATATATAAAATAAATATCAAAAATATAAGTCTTTGTTTTACTGTGGTTGCAAATATCAAAAAGTTTCTATATGTGACACGGCACCAGAGTTAAGTTAGGGTTTTTTAAAATGCTGACACGCCGAGCTCAAAAGGTTCGCCATCACTGGCCTAGAAGCATCCCCGCGCTCTCTGGATGGGGGTCAGCCTCTGTTCAGTGAGGAACCACTGGACGGGGCATGAAGCACACATCAGCCCTTTACTCTCTTTCCCACATGCAGGAGAGGCTCAGCACCTAAAATCCGTGTGGCTCAGCCGTTTCCTCCAAAATGGCCTTTGTGGTTTGTCTGGTGTTCGTTTGTTGACTTATCCCCTTTAAGTTCTTCTGCTGAAGCACGCCGAGAGAGACTTGGCTTGGCCCAGGTTCCTCACCTCCTGGGATAATATTTTTATTCCTGGATGGAGTGGCTCAGTGCTTCTGGACGCTGACCACTCTCCCTCCCGGAAGAGGAGCCCTGCTTGGCGCCTACGAACTGATAGTGAGAGGAGCTTCCACAGCAAGGAAGGGGGAGGTTTGGGGACAAAGAGCAGATGAGGCAGATAGTCAAGCCTCAATGCCTCAGGCTTTAAAAATGCTATTAAGAAGCCTGGGAGTTTATAGTCCAATTTACATGCTCTCTTTGCCTAGACTTCATTTTCTCTCTCCTTTTTTTTTCTTTCAGAAATCACAGCTCCCACTCTATGGATTAAGCACTTGGTAATCAAGGACTCCAAACTGAACAACACCAATGTAAGAAATTCAGGTAAATAATCTGCCTTGGATTATATGCTTACCTGATAGCCCATGGTTGCCCCATGGTTACCCCATGACTACCTACTGGGTAGGCTTTCGCATGTTATTTACCCTTTCTGGTCTTCAGTTTCTGCAGCTGTAGAATGAGATTGGATGAGACAATCCCTTCCATCTTTAATCGTCTTCAATTATTATCTCAGGGATCCTCTTTCATGAGCAGTTGACACTTTTAGCTAAAAAAAAAACCCAACCTTTTGGTTCTATGTTTTAATATTTTAATTGACTTTCTGTATTTGAAAGAAGAATGGTTAGACATAGAGCAGTGGTACTTCAAGTCTCAGAGCCTTGGTTCTGTGTGGTTTTTAAGGCTTTGAATAAATGCTTCTGCTTGTAGCTTTTCTAGTCTGATCTTTTGAGGAACTTGTGAGTAGTCAGGTTTTGGTACTGGCTGAACCCCTTGTAGAAAGGTGATAATCAAATTTGTAGAGTTCATTTACCATCATGAAGACCAAAGTCAATAAGGTTTATTTACCATTAGTAAAGACCAAATGTCCATCAACAGAAAATGTATTATCAGACCTAATCCATATCTCTTATCAGGGGGAATCATCCTTCTTTTAGCCTAAGGCTTTATTGTGAGAAATGCCATTTGGCATAATTTATGCTTGCCTGTTGAATTTAGCCATATCACCTTTTTTCTTGTAGATAGCAAGGAATATAATCAAAAGTTACATCCCTTTCAACTGGCAGACAGAATTTTATATGGCCAGTAATTCGTGAGTGTGCTATCTTTGGCCCCCTTTAGCTCTGTCCTAAAGGTGGCAGTGTGGGGACCGATATGCGTGGAGTGAGTTAGACTATGAAGGTGAATCAGTGCAGCATTGGTTGATTCCTCTGTGACTTGGGCAGGCCAGTAACTCAGCATGTATCTGGTTCCCTGTTTGGTAAAAGCTGGAGTCGCTGTGGGATGGTGGGTAGAAAAGAGACCGTGTGAACCTCTGTGGGCCAGATTCTTTGATAAAACAGGGCTGTCATTAAAGCACAGGCTTTGGGGAATCAGTGGAATCTGGGGTTCACTTTTTAAAATAGGTTTTTATTGAATTCTTAAAGAGAGAGAGAGAGAGAGAGAGAGAGAGAGACATTGATGAGAGAAAAACATTGATAGGCCACCTCCTGCACACCCGCAATTGGGGATCAAACCTGCAACCCGGGCATGTGCCCTGATTGGGAATCTAACGAAACTTCTTGGTGCATGGA